TGAACAAAAAGAGAACGTTTTGCAAAAAAAAGTAAATCAGTGAAATATTAGTCTCTACAGGCCTGTAGACTTTCCCACACGGACTTCTTTGATCCTATGTTTAGGAATGATTTGTGGAAAATCTCGGATCGTGGGCAGCCGCTCATCACGTTTCAGTTAAGAAGGAATTTCAGCAGAATAAAGATTTCGCAGGAAACTCTATTCAATTCTATTTTGAACGACAAAGTCATACGCAAGATAGAACTATGGGATCTGGAAATAGAGATGATTCTAGATAAAAGTGAAAATTTCAGGAGAAGAATACAAAACGTCGGACTACGTCCTGGGAAGATTAAAACATGAGTGTAACTCAATCGTGATGACCAGATGCGAGCTGTTTGCTGAAGTACATTTTAAAAAGACTCAATAGAAAATAGAATTCATGAAGCGATAATAGATGATTTATAGATTGAATTCAGTCGAGTCGAAGCGACGAGCGTTACTTGTTTAGGAATATGTCGAAAGAAAAATAAAAAGTAAATTTAGTATGTTTAGTATGACCTTCGTATCTTAATACTATTGAAATAGAAGGAATCTATCTGAAAGTCTGTTATTGAAGTTTTGCTTCATTGGTTTCGTTTATATATTGAAAATATTGTTTATTAGTCTGAAACTATATTTTATCTAAAATTTAGAAATTAGAATTCAATGACTTATGGTCTGTACATTTACACACTCATTTAATCTGACTTCAAAAATATACGGCTAAAAATGAGTAGTCATTATTCCATTCATTCGATATAGCCATTCATGAAAGCGTTAGAAATGAGTCATCCGTTAAAACTCGAAAATAATAAAAATGAGTTTTCAACATATTTTCTGTCGATTTTTCATTGAATTTCATCATTTCTCTTTATGATTTAATTTTTTTTTAGTTTTTATATATGTTAGTGTATTGGTGTTTTGTTACACGTTCTGTCAAAAACATGAATGATTACTACTTGGAGTACTCATGCTATCATCCGCGAGTAAATTCTAGATAAATAACTCATGAGTACTCGCCCGAGTACGCGAAAAATATAATTATACATAAAAATTCTTGAGTATTCGAACGAGAAAATCCAAGTACTCATACTGGTAAGTCGTACTCGCTTGATGAGCATTTTCATTAGGGTATATTTCTTTGCTTGAATTTAATCAAAAATCCAGACTAACACGGATAAATACAAAAGTTAGAAAAAAAAGACAAAATATAGAAATACAATGCTGGATTACAGAATAATCTCTTAATATTTTTTTTTTATCTGTTTATTTTAACGACGAGCAAACCAATAAAAAATTGTAGCTCCACCGACAGCTAATGCTAATTTACCAAGTTGAATGCAACCCCATGAAGCTAATAATGTTTTAGCTTTTTCTGATTTAGCATCAAGTGTTAAAAATTTAAGTTGTTCAGCGACTGGATATTCAACTAGTGCACAATATGGAATTCCAGCTAGAAAAAAAAAAAAATTATTTTTCAATACAAAAAGAGAAAACTTAATAATATTTTTAATTAACTTACCAAGCATTAATCCTGAACCAATAAGCCAGTAATTATCTTTTGTTTGTTGATAAGCTAATGCACCTGAAACACCACTTACAATCAACATTAAGTTTGTTAAATATTTTGATCGATCATGTGCTTCAATTAATTGTGGTATTGCATGTTCACCAGAAATATGCATACGAGCATCGTGATTAACAAAAATTTCACCTAAACCACCACCAACACTCATTATAGATGACCATAATGCGAACTATATAAAAAAAAAATAATAATTCAAGAAAAACAACGAATTTCACGTACATGAACACCTTCAACAGCAATTGTATCAAGAAGACTACGCTGAGTGATAGACATTGTTCGTTTTTACTTTGTAACCTCGATCTTGTTTCAACGCAAATTGAATGACGAATGAATATCAAATGAATGACACAAAGAGAGAGAGAGAGAGAGAGAGTAGGAGTAGAAATTATTCGTGAGTAAAAAAGTAACTATCGTGATGGCTTGAAAATAATTAATTACGAAATAAATAAATTAGAAACTATAATAAAATGTAAAATACTTAAAAAGTGTTTATTTTATTGGAAGATGATCGTTGCTAAGCAACGCGATGTAATAGAATTGGTCGATGGTTGGATTTATTAATTGGAAAAATTCAAATTTTAAATATCTTTAACTTGAGTGGTAATTATTAGTTCAACAATAAACAAAATTGTTTTCCTCGAAGTGAAAATGTGTCATCATAATACAGCTAAAACTATTTAATGCGTTGTTTGCGTGTTACTTTCATTATTTCAAGTGCTCGAACTAAGAGTAAACAATTAAACTGGAAGTTTGCAGGGAATACGCCCTCCCTAATAAATATGATGCAAAAGTCGAACTTGATTCTATTGAATTGAAATATTACTGATAACCTAGTACGAGTAGTACAGACTCTTATCTCACGAACTATAGTGAAATAAACAAAACAATAGCAAATGATCAGTGATTGGTCTTCTGATTTTGTGAAACACGATCTGAAAGGAGTGTTGAAGTGTACAAGGTAGAAATTTTGCACCCCTCTCACAGACTATGACAGAGAAATTTCATAGCCATCACAGACCGTGACAGAGAATCTCCGAATCTACTACAGGGAGTGGGTGTGGGTATGAATGTGAATCTTCCTTTTATCCACGCATTCACACCCACACTCACACGCTCACATCCACACCCACACCCAACTTCATCATTTTTGACATGAACGAAGCTTGCCTTCAATGGGATCTATAAAAACTTCTATATGCATTATCCATCATCATTTCTTTTCGATGATCTACAAATATTTTTTCTATCATTTTTATATAATTGTGGATGATCAAGTAGTGTGAAATAATATCGAGACTGTAAGAATAATAATCTGTTTATAATATTGGTGGTGGTGATGTCACTATTGCTGTGACCTCTATATTCGTGATATTATTGATGATTCATTATTATTATTGAATTATGGCGAAGTGAGAAAAGAAGCAATATTTCCTCCACTTTGCATCACACTTTCCTGATGTCGTCCTTTTTCTCGTGACAGCAGTTTTTTTATTTGCATCAGGAAAAGAAGTCAAACATGTTACAGATTCGTTTTCATTTTTTATCATGTATAAAAAAACATAAAATGTGCACGTTTCTTGTTAGCTCAGAGCGATTCATACAGTAAAACTGAAACATAAAAAATGTATGTTGCTGAGTATTTTTTTTTACTGATGAAAGCATGTAAGGGAGATAATTCTATGATCAAGGTATTGTACGATAGAAGGTTCGTATTCGATGCAAATTTTCGAGCAGTAAACATGCTTTCATTACGATAGTATGCTTTTTTTTATCGCAATATGTGCATATCTTATCATGCCTTTAACGATGAAAATCTCGTCCCATGCAAGAGTGTCTAATAATGATTGTTATCAATATTAGGGTGATGAAGAGAATAACGCAGAAGATTTACCCGATGATGGCTTTTCAACAGCACGTACCTCTATAACTTTAAATGATCCGGATATTATAGTTCCCATTACATTATATGCTTTGCGTCACACCGACTTCACTAAAAACAAATGGAAAATTCTAGCGAATTTCGACAATAATCTAAAACACACTTTCACTGTTGATACAGTCCTATCTGGTCCCATGATTGATTCAGTAAGTTTATTTGGCTTTTAAATTATACTTTTGATTTTCATGATACTCATATTCACTCACTGAGTTTAATAGTTAGTCCGAAAATTTGTAGGACAAAAGTATAATCTTCTTTGAAAACAACCGAGTTTACTTATAGCAATGATTCGATGACGTATCCCGACTGGTACATTTCTGAATCAACAGACTTGACTAAGAAAAAGAAGATCTTATTAGAAGAAAATGAATGTAGTATTTTGAGACCTGTCTGATCTTTGCTTTTCAGATGGTACTTTTTGCCGAATTAGAATTCAATAAATCACGACTGTCAGTATTGACAAAACAGAATTCTTTCTGTGTTGTTATCAATAACCTAATTTTTACTGTCATCGAGTAATCACTTTTCGAATATCATCAGAAGTATCTGTATAAGTGAAATTTTGTGCTTCCACTTTCCTGTTTCCACCATTACGAACCGTAACAATTACTGTTAAATTCTACCTTCTAAGGAATATATAAGTTGTGTTAACCAGTTATATTTTTCATTTATAGACGAAACAATCCAAAAATGAACACACTCCAGTTTTATACTGTCTTCGGTTGCAGATGCATGTGAATGACAAGAGAGAAATGTATATCAAACGCAAAAGAAAACTTTATTTAATTGGTACCTATCAACTTCAAATGTCTCAGCCATCGTCACTCATGGGTTACTACTGGTATTCAGACAACAGAATTCGTTTTTTTCATAGCCGATTCATTAGTATCAAGTCAATTTCTATTCGATCTTTATTTTGAAAATAGTTTTTATGTATGACGAGCTCCTGGTATGAAAATGTTCTTTATATTATCGATCTTTAAATAAAACTTAATACTTTTCTTTTAAGCAAAGATATACCATTCTGGAATCATTTATGTTTGTTTACATACTTTTTTTATTAAAAATAAGTCGTATGATATGTTCGATTCTTTCATAGAACAATTTATTGCTACCATAAACGAAGAGAGACGAAATTTGTCTTATGAAGAATTGAATAAATTCTTTAAGGATTGTCTCAACTATTATTCGTTAATCGAAAATATTGTTCAACAGAATATACATGCATAAAAAATTCTTGTTCGTATGATGGCTTCTATATCTATCAATCAAGACAATATGATTATTGAAAGCAATGCAGCACAGTTATTCACTTCGATTGTTCTAAAAGTTTTTGTAGACAAACTTCCAGATGTCTGGATAGATGTTCTTAATTCTGAATGGCAATCATTTTGCTATGGTTTAGTAACGCTAGTTTGTATTAGAGTATATCATCAGGATTGTGAAAATAACATGAATTTTCCACTGAATTCATTTATGATGATTCCTGACGGAACACGACGACAAGAATTAATTTTTCAATTAATTAATCTACTCAATAGTGTAAAATGTACTTTATTACAAAATGAAGATGAAATTCTTTTTACTTTGATTAATCCAAATCAACTTGGTTTAGAACATCTTGAAGTAATTAGTTCTCTTTCAAAATATATTACTTATCTCATAAAAATTTTCGAATCTTATCAACAAGATGAAGATCAATTAAATAAAAAAAAAATCTCATATTTCAATTGATGAAATTCCTTCGATTTATGATATAATCTTTCGCTATTATAATCCACTTCTATTACAAAATATTGATCGTGAACAATATATTTTACATACAATCAATCGTCGAGATAATCAAAAAATAGATTTTTTTCTTGAATCATTCAAATATTTTCTATGTCAAACTAATCCTGATTGGATGCATTATTCTAAATTACTTAATGAATGGACGGAATGTTTTGTTGATAATGCATATTTATTCAAAAAGATTATCAAACAAATCGATAAGCTTATTGAACTTTGAACATAAGTCGAGCCTGCTAATGATCAACGTTTAGTTTTTTTCGTAAAACATTTAGTAATACAATGTTTTCGATATGATAAAATTATCTATTCATTTGTTATAGTTTAATACTATCGAGAAAATTTTAATAAGTTAATATCTTAATATATGGACTCTTTTTCAGTGATTAGTGCTTAGTTTTAAATAATTTGTAATATGTAGAGTAGGAAATTTCCATATCGAATATCATACAGAATTTTATTACAAGAATATTATAGATAAGGGAAAAGAAATCTAAAGTGTGTGTCGAACAAGATGCAAAATATTTTTTGTGAAAAGTGAATACCAATGTATACATAATCGATTCATATAATACCAGTCTATTTGTTTTTTTCTTTTTATTCTAGGAGATACGTACGATCTACTGAAAGATGTTCTATTATCGGTACAAAATAAAAAATTTATCGATGCTTTCAAGCAGATGTTTTACATCGAAAAATTGAAGTTCAACATCTCTCAGTTGAAAGATATGAACTGGCATAATAATCCATTGTTTCGACTAATAAAAATCAATAGACAACAATGTGGACAAAGTTTAATTGATCAAAGAATTAATTTCTCTTTCTGCATCATTGATAGAAATTAATAATAATGATATCATAAATGATACTTTCTATCATCTATCGAATAACACTTTTACATATACTATTCTATTCGATCAGTACCTCGAATTACTTCCACTTCATGAATATATACTGCAACAATTGATTCTACAGTTAAATAACTGGGAAAAAGGTGCTTTCGCTTCAGAGTTACAAACATGGAAGAATTTTACAAAAGAGCAAGCATTTATTATTCGTACAATATGGACTTTAGTAGTTCAAAAAGAAAATAAATTCGAAAACCTCGGATTTAAATCCGAGTGTTATGTGTACTTCAAAAAGTGAAAAGGTATATTCACTGTGTTTTTTTTATCACTAAATTGCAAGGAGAAAATACAGACGTGCTAAGTTAGCATGGACCATACTGTATGCGACCCTATCCGGTGACCACTGACTCTACTCTCACAGTGATTTTATATCTTTAGAAATCACAGGAATTGAATTCAGATTCGTGTTTAGCTTGGAAAATTGGGTAATAAGAGTTATTTTTGAACCAAATATTAGCTTTCTAACAAAACATCGCCTGAAAAAGGTCTCAAAATGCACAAAAACTGCATCCAGAAACCAAATTGCCTAGATGTGTCTCAGATGACCAGTAGTTTTGGGGTTT